AATTAAGTATAGTGGTTAAGAAGAAGAAAAAAAGTGATTGACGAGCTTAAATCTAATTAGCAAGATCCATTATTATCAAGAAAAATAATAAATTTGTACATTTGGAAATAACATAAGTAAGATTGTCGAAATACTGAGACATCCTATACAAAGGTGACATTGAGACAGAAGAAACATTTGAGCATTGAAGTTCCTTGTGGGTAAGTTAGCAATGTTCCACACGCTCCGCAAAGAGATTGACGCATTTCCATTCCTGTAGGTGTAAAAGTTTAATTTATCACACTTATTTCAATTTTGTTAATATCAATCTTAAAGATCACTAATTTCACTATACAATCATGAAAAGTGCCATGTTAATAATTTTCTTTTTACTAATAGAAACAGGAAACATGCTTACCAGATGAAGGAACAGGTGTTCTTAGTAAACACCGTGGACAACCAACACTGGTTACTCCCCTTATGTAAAACAAAAGGAACCCACAACCCATACACATAATTTGCCTTGGCATTTCTGCAACCACAAAACTCAACCATGTAATGAATCAACCTATGTGTCACACGCAAATATTCATTCAATAATCTAATATCAATTTCATCACATGAGTGCGTCTCATGCAGAATTCAAGCAGTAGAAGGCTTGCTATAACCAATTCAAACCATGCAATATACAGGAATCAAAACAATTTTCATTTGAATTGAAGTTGGTTGAGAAATGGATACCAGGAGAAGGCATGTTCGGAAGACGAGGAAGAGGAAGAGGAAGAGAAAAAGGATTACGAGGAGGAGCACCGGGAAAACTTCCGAATCCATTATTCTGGGCAGGAGGTGGCATATGGTTCCACATGCCTAAATTGTCGTCGTCGTCGTCGTCGTCGTCATCGTCATCATCATATGTATGATATACCCTTTGTTTCCTGATGCGCAAAACTGCATCGGTAATATCTGAAGTAGACAAGTCTCGGTTCTTGTTGCCTTTGTTCTTAACTAAGTTGCGTGAAACAGAACCACCTTTTTTACTGTCTGAATCAGACGGGATTTGTTTCTTGCTACGTGAAACAGAAAGAATGTCTGAAGCAGAGAAATCCTGATTGCCATCTCCTTTGTTGTTGAAGGAGTCGCTTGTAACACTATTACGACTTTCTCCGATCAAAATAAATGCTTTGTCATGGAGGTTTAACTGCACGCGCCCGCGAGATTTTTTTTCCTTCTCGGTGCTCATCTTATGATACTCCAAAAATTGCTCTCTATCTCTCACTGTACTGTTTTCTATTTCAGTCCAAATCCTCACTTTGTTTTGGCGATTTGATGAATGATGATAAGGTTGATCGAGATATATAAATCCATTTAAGGAACACCGCATATTATTACACAGTAAATCCACTACGTTGCTTGGATTCCAAGCTGATTTATGCAAATCAATTTCTGATGCATGGATAAATGTATGGTTGTTGAGTCTTCTTAGTCTTCGAAGAATATATGCACCACCCAAAACTACAGATGCCATGGTTGATTTATTTGCCATTTCAGATTGAAGAATACCTTTTTTTATATATCATTAATCGTATACATAAGTTTAAGTTATAAGAAACTGTAAACATACGATAAAAAAGCTATCACTAATTGATAAATAAAATTTGTTACGTATTAGAATGGCTTTGTTGACGTAGTTCTTATCTTTAGAACTTGAGGGTGCGTTTGGTAAAATGACAAGAAAAGAATGGATAATTTATAAAAATTAGATAAAGATAAAATATAATAAGAATACGAAATAATAGGTTTGTTCAAGGATCGATCGTGCTTTTCTTTTTAACTAGTTGGAGAATCAATTTTAATGGCTACCAAGTATAGACCAAGGCTTAAATTACATTTAAGTCTTTGAATAAGGTTTTATAAAAAGCACTTATAATAAAAAAAAATATAAGAAGAGATAAAATAAGTATATAATTTTAAAATATTAAAATTGTTTTATATGCATTATAGTTTAAAACTGAAATGATATATTTTATGAGATAAGTTTGAGTTGATCCGGTTCAACTAGTTCATTTTATCGATTTTACTTCCTATATTATTATTAAAGTTAATATTTATTGAGACTAGATATTAAATTTATATATTTATATAATGTAATAATTTTATACGTAAAGTTAACTAATATTTTAAATATTAATTATATTATATTATTTTTATAATAATGTATATTAAATTATATGTATATAAATTTAAATGATTGTAAGTATATTATTCAAAATTTGATATTTATTTATATTTTAAAATTATATTATACATTAGGTCCAAAACCACCTTCACCTCTGAGTGTAGAATCCAAGTCCTAAACTTGAGTAGCATCAGGCGTCACAATCTTCACAATATAAACCCAACGTCACCCTCGTCGATCGAATCTTCAAAGCCCACCCTCATCTCGGCGCTGCAACACCCACCAGAAACATTAAAAAATTTCCCGGAAAACCCACCAACAAAAGATGAAAGACCAAATAATATTATACGCAATTTAACTCGAAAAGAATCAGAAGATTGGTTTGCATGGTCGTAAATGCATCATACAAATAGTTGTCTACGATTACAGGAACGTGGGATGTTAGATTAAAATCTTGATATTTGTTTTTATATCAGAATATATTCTTGGTTGACAGCAGTGTTAACGTGTGACCAATATTATCAATTAGTAGGTACGTGTGGCATGTGAAAATGTTAATATAATTGGAATTCTACATTAGTACTTAACAACCTTTGAGGGTCCAAGCAAGAAATTAATCCGAACAACCGAAGCTCTCATGTGATGGCTTATATTTGTATCCTATATACATCGTTGTCGATGCACATGTAACTTTTCCATTGTTTTCTTGGTAGTAATTCTAGTATCGGTTTCAACACAAGCACGGGGTTGTTGATTGACAACTTAGTGATTTCTGCACGTTCAAAAAGTTTGAAAAGGAACCACCCCATTTTAGAAGTAATCGTGATAGCACTCCATTCATTCATTGCGTTGAAAATGTGTTACTAACGAAGGAAATGTTTGGGTTAGAGGCACAAACTCCAGTTTGCATTATTAATAAAAAAATATGATTCTCTTTTTCTATGCTTACTGTTTGAGCGTCATCCTGACCCTACACAGGTTCTCTCTTACAGTGAAGTCCAAACAAGGGAACTGTGTTATTTTCCTCGGAAATCACTTCCCCTTAATTCCTTTTCCTCCAATTACAACAAATCAAACAAGTCATAAGTTAGTCTTGTACTGTTTATAAAGAAGCTCTCCCACCCTATTCTCACAATGTAGTGTGCACAAAAACAAAACAAATCCGTGTAAGGGGGTGCTATAAATGTGTTAAAGAAGTCTCACTTTAATTAAAAATACAATTATAATACTCCTTAAGATATTTAGACAATTTTTTCCCCTCCAGATCGATTTAACTTTTAAAGATAAATTAGATTCCATGTAAGTCCCTAAACTCTAAAAAATTGTAAATAAGTCTTTTATATTTTAAGAGTTTTTAATCAGATGCCTAAACTTTTAAATTATTTTTAATTAAGTCTTTAATTATATTTTCATTAGAGTTTCGTATAATGCCGGGACTTAATTACAAAATTTCAAATACTTATCAGATGACAAGTTTAATTATTCACTAAATATTGAGAAATTTATAATTAAATCTCTACTAAATGGAACTCTGACAAAAATGTAATCAAGAACTTAATTAAATATAATTTTAAAATGTAGAGGTCTGAATATAATTTTTCTAAATATACAATTTTTTAATAACTTTTTCAAGAGTTCAGAAGCTTGCCGTAATCTTTATATATATCCACATAACATTTTTTTTATCGTGTTAATAATAAGAAGAAGAATTAAAAGAAAGCCAATAATATACTTTTTAAAACACTTTCGCTTACTCTTACACACTTTTTTTTAACTAAAATTTATTTTACAAATATACAAAAAAAAAAGACAGTACAATTAATTTTAACTTAATAATAGAAATTGTATTGCTAATGATATTTTTTTTAAGAATTATAGTGATAATGACTATGATAATGAATATGGCGATCATGATGTTGATAAGTAACGCCGCCATACATGTCATGTGAATTAGAATAGGTGGTGATTGTTGCAGAGGCATCATGGATATTGTTGCTGCCGATGGCTGCATGATTGAAGTCTTGGTTGCCGCTACCTCTTTTGCAAAATGACCCGTGTACCTTCACTTGCACCTTCACCCTTTGTAGCTGTGTTCATCCCTTCTACAATCACAGACGTATTTTCGTCCTGGAGGTCTCCGCGAGATTTCTTTACCTTCTTGCTGAAGATCTTATGATGAATATAAGTAAGATTACATTACTGGCAATTGCATCACTCATATTACGATTTGTCGCTTGCAGCAGAGTGTTAATGCCTTCTCCAACAGTTTCTCTCTATTGCTCACTATGCACTGCTTTCTATTTCGTTCAAATCCACACTTTGTTTCAGAGGTTTGATAACATATAGTTCCATTTAAGGAGTACCGTATATTATTGTAAAGTTAACCCACTACTTTGCTTGGAAACCAAGCTGTTTTATATGCAGATAGATAAATGTGAGGTTTCTCTTTGAAGAATATATGCCAAAATAAATATACCATGGTTGACCTCGCAAAAAAAAATTGGACCCATTTCTAATTGGTAAAAATTGTGTCTTGACCATTTTTATCAAGCTTTAGGCAATTTCTATTAAGTTAAATCTAACTTCACCTCAAATTTTAAAACTTGAACTCTTGTTATTTTGTTGCTGTTATCATTATTTGCAATAAAACTAGAGATAATACCTGAAAAAAAAAAAGCAATTATAACCTCACTGTAATATTTCGTAGTTCTCAATATTACATAAGAGAAAACAGAGGCGCCCACATATACTGCATTTGTACAAAAATTGCTCAAAAAGCATTCACCTCGCAGATCGATAATCCTAAAGATTAACAAAAGAAACAACGATCTTAACAGTGAGAGAATCAAACCCCAGTAGATCCAAAACCACCTTCACCTCTGAGTGTAGAATCCAAATCCTCAACTTCAGCAACCTCAGGCGTCACAATCTTTTGAATTATCATCTGAGCAACTCTATCAGCCATTTTCACTTCAAAATCAACATCCGAATGATTCAACAGTATAACCCCAACGGGACCCCTGTAATCCGCGTCGATTACCCCCGCACCCACGTCGATTGAATGCTTCAAGGCCAACCCTGATCTCGGCGCTGCAAAATCCACCAAAAAATTAGAAATTTTCCCGGAAAATCGTAAGAGAAAATTGGGGAAACGGAAATTACCGATTCGGGCATAGGTCCCTTCGGGGATAGAGATGGAAAGATCGGTGGGGACAAGAGCTTTCCCTCTCGCCGGAATCTTTGTCTCCACGGCGCTGGAGAGGTCGTAGCCGGCGGAGAGAGGGGAGGCCCTAGAAGGCAAAACGGCGTTGTCGGAGAGCTTCTTTACTCGGAGAAGAGTGGCCGAAACGACACCGTTTAGCTCAGCCATTTGTAGTTGAAATGTAATGAAACAAACGAAGATAATGGATAGTTGGAGGGTTGGGTTTATATAGAACAGAGTGAGACTCTGTTACTCTCATGGCGCCAAATGTTCCCGCCATTATTTCACTAAATTTTTTACTTTTTTTTTTCATTTTCCTTTCTTGTGTGTATTGTGATCTTGGGTTGGAGGCTTGGAGGGTGGAGCAAATAAAAAAGAAGATGACTACAAGAGTATTTTGAAATTAAAAATTATAATGATTTAACTATTTTATTTTTTTTGGATGTATTTAACTTTTTTTTATTAAAGGGATAAAGTCAATTTAAGTTAGTTCGAGTAAAAAAAAAAAAAACTTTCTTTGACTTAAATTTTTCTAAAATTTGTTTTTAAAATATAAATATACTAGTTTATATTTATATGACTGGTGTCTTGCATGGGTTTTAAAATTTTTCAACGGTTAATGATTAATTTTTTTATGTGAACTCCAAGAATCAAAAAACAATTTTTAACTAAGTTCAAATAATATACCACCTTAATGACCTAGCTTCAACTTCAAAATACCTTCTTTGTTTTTCTATTGTCAACCCAAATTGAAGCTTTTAAACTGATTTGAACCCTTCTCTTTTCTCTTTCCTCAATTTGATTTGATCATATAAAATATCTAGTCACACAAGAGTTGTGTGTGGGTCTTGCCGCAGACTTTATGTCCCATGAGTCATTAAATGTAATGGAAATTGGTCTGATTTCGTGTATAATTGGAATACTATTGAATCTCTTGTTTCCTTTATTGGTTAATTTGAACATGTCCAGAAAGTCTTGACATGTCTTACAACTTTTTGGAGTGAAACAGAATAATTGTCTTTGAAGAACTCCTCAAAACTTGTTGAATCGAACAACTGAGCAAGCAATTGGGATTTTCCAAGAATTACAATGCCAAACTCAAAGGATCAAGGTACTATATGAACAAAAACCACTGTTTTTAGCATCGTAGAGTCAAAAGTCGCTTTGGGTGATGCAATCTCGACGTTGAACGCGCACCAACTCCTCCTGTTTTTCTACATGTTCTTGCCTTATAATATGACTGTTTTAGTTTTCTAGTCTTAGACACTATTAATGCCTAAAACTAGCACATGCTATTAAGATTTGTCGAAGACTTTTTGAAGTTTTAATGTTTAAGCCATAACGTGCCAGTTTCAAATTCAGAAGCATTCCAAAGAGAGAAAAAGGAAAGAACTCAGAGAAGAAACTACGAAGTTCAATTTGTCAACGAAAAGAAACTCTCACTTAAAGTATAGCATTTGATTTATTTTATTATGTTCCATGTAAACATAGATAGAATTCGAAAAGAATTTGAAAATAGAAGAAATTCAGAAGTATATTATATGTCAACAAAATAAGAAAGCAAATAGATTTTAAATTCATATATAATTATTCTTTAAAATAACTTTTATGGGTTAACTAATATCTTGAATCTAACAAGGTGGATTTTTTTAATGGAACTACAAAATTGTAAAAAGCTTTGATATTCTCATTAACAAGTCAAATATTGATTTTTTTTTTATGCCAAAAGAAAAACAGGAAAAGGAAAGAAAGTCAATGACCCAATATCTATTCACCCGTCCTAGATTAGTTTAAGTCTGCCTACGTTTATAATAAATTACAAATGCTGATTACAAAATCTAACAGGCAACACTTGAGTTTGGATTTTATGGATTTCATTTATATGACATCTTTGAGTAGTTTGGGTAACGAAGGTTGACTTATTTTGTGGCATTGGAGATTAAAGAACACAATGTCAAACCAAGAATTAAACCACACATTACTGGGATGAACACACTCGGATAGTGTAATATTGTCCTCTTCAGAAATGGATTTTAGGCTTCTAAAGTTGTAAGAAGACTAATGAAGCTCTTGACTTTTGATGTAAAATTTTTACAAAATTAACTTCACTCACTTATAAAAAATAATTTATCGAAAGAGAATTACTCACACTTTATAAGGTGAATTCTGATAATATTTTTAGCCAATATAAAATATCTTAATATATACTATTCTCATGTTACTAAATATTTAATGTTGGAAGTTTGCAAGTTATGAATGATTCAACATTTCAATTACATAGGATATATACCATATTTAAAAATTGAACATAATTCACAACTAAAAGATAGTTCATAAAAAAAAAGATTATCTAAATTTTGTAAGATATATTCTGACTAATTTTCCAACTACATCTTAACAAAAATTAAATTGAAAAATTGGTCTAGCACTGCTGAACACGAGTCAACAAATAAAGTGACAAGAAAAATCCTTTCCCAAAAATTCCATGTAAAATAATCTAAATTAGTAAGAAAAAAATAATGCAACCACTATCCAAAGTGACAGACAAAACTTGATTTGAAGTCCTTGTCATGTCAGCTTAACCGGCAGATACTTGATTCCCAAATTGGCAAATTCAGACTACCATAATTTTCCACCTCTACCTCTCACTTTCCATGGCTTTTAGCCCTCAGAAGTATATCTGTATCACCTAATCAAAAATGTGTATTCAGGTAAAAGCCTAAAACTTCATTGATTCCCTATTTTCCTTCCCCTTCATGTTTCATGTTCTACTTTGCATTTAAAAGTTTCTTTCTTCTGGGTTTTTTTCTTAGACCTTTAAATAAGTTATACTTCAGCTACTTCCAGAGATTTTTTATCCTTGTTGGTTCTGTTTCTCGATTTTAAATTTGTATCTGTTGTCTCCTAGTAATTGATAGAAAAATCTGTGTCTATTCCCGTTGTTACGATTAGTACCTCAATCTTATTTTCCATTGTTCAGTTATAAATTTTTGGGAATTTTCCTGACTTCATATCGTATATGCCATCAAACAAGGAGAAGGCATCACCATGGTCACGAAAGTTTCCCTTATTTTGGTCTTCCTTGCAATTTTCTCTATCAATTTCAAAGCATACACTGAAGTTGATGATCAAAATGATCACAACAATGATCCACCTCTCACCAACTCAGAGTATACAAACTGCCTGAATTTTGATGCCTTGCCTTGTCTGAATTCTTGTTGTGACAAGAAAGCCAAAAGTTCAGAACCAACAAGATTAAATAAGGAAGAAGATAAAGATGATGCTATATCAACAAAGCCTCACAGAAGGTCAGTGAAGTTACACCTAAAGCGCAGGCCAATCAAGGATAGGAATGAGCCTAAAACACATGTACTGGACTCTACAATCAAGGATTTGGTCAGAATTCAAACTCTTCACAGAAAAGTCTTAGTGAAAAACAACATAAACAACATGTCAAGGGTGAAGGAAGTTAAGGAGCAACTCCAACAGCAGATCAAGCCAGTTAATGCTTCTGTAGAATCATTGGAATCTTCAGAAGATGAGTTTTCAGGTAAGATCATGGCAACCCTTGAATCTGGGGCCTCTCTTGGCTCAGGAGAGTACTTCATAGATATGTTTGTGGGTACACCTCCTAAACATGTTTGTTTGATACTTGATACTGGCAGTGACCTTACTTGGATTCAATGTGTTCCTTGTTATGATTGTTTTGAACAAAATGGATTCCGTTATGATCCCAAGGACTCTAGTTCTTATAGGAATATAACCTGCCATGATCCCCTCTGTCAACTAGTTTCTTCCCTAGACCCTCTTCAGCCTTGCAAAGTTGAAAACCAAACATGTCCTTACTTCTATGGCTATGCAGATGGTTCAAATACAAGAGGAGATTTTGCATTAGAAACATTTACTGTGAATCTAACATGGCCTAATGGGAAGGAAAATTTCAAACATGTAGTAGATGTGATGTTTGGTTGTGGTCATTGGAATACAGGCTTTTTTCATGGAGCTGCTGGATTGCTAGGACTTGGGAGAGGACCTCTCTCCTTTTCCACACAGATGCAATCTATTTATGGAAACTCATTTTCTTATTGTCTGACTGACTTATTCAGCAACACAAGTGTCAGTAGCAAATTGATCTTTGGTGAGGACAAGGAGCTATTGTACCACCCCAATTTGAACTTCACTTCATTGCTTGCTAGAGAAGAAAGTCCATATGATACATTTTACTATCTTGGGATAAAGTCCATCTTGGTTGGAGGGGAAATGCTCGATATTCCTGAACAAACTTGGCATTGGTCATCAGAAGGTGATGGTGGTACAATTATTGATTCTGGCTCTACCTTGACTTTTTCCCCTGGCCAAGCTTATGATGTTATAAAAGAAGCATTTATGAAGAAAATTAAACTGCATCCAATTGCTGAAGATGGTTTTATTATGTCTCCTTGTTACAATGTGTCAGGAGCACTACTGCAAGTGGAGCTACCTGATTTTGGGATTCATTTTGCAGATGGGGCCGTGTGGAATTTCCCAGTTGAGAATTATTTCTACCATTATGAATCAGATGAAGTTCTATGTTTGGCAATATTGAAAAGTCCTAATCATTCTTCTCTCACAATTATTGGAAACCTACTGCAGCAGAATTTTCACATTCTGTATGATACAAAGAAGTCTAGGCTGGGATATTCCCCTAGGAGGTGTGCTGAGGTTTAGCATCATATTATTAGTTGTTAGAAGTTACAAAGAGATGTCAGTGGGTTTTGATTCCCTTTTATTTTCCTATTTTCTTCAAGTTCAGATAATTAGAATAAGATGGAAGACCAAAGTATATTATTATTTGCAATTTCACTCAAAAGCAAAGAATCAGAAGAGTGGTTTGTTTGGTTCTATATGCACCAAACAAATAATTGTCTATAGTTAGAGGAATGTGGGATGTTAGATTAAACAACTGATGTTGGCTTCATATTAGAATATATTCTTGGGTTGACAGAAGTGGTTACGTGTGTGACCAATATTATATAGTAGCACAAGTCAACTAGTAGGTACGTGTGGCATGTGAAAATGTTAATATAATTCAAATTCTACACTAGTATTTTAACAACCTTTAAGGGTCCAAGCAAGAAATTAATCCAAACAACCGAAGCTCTCGTGTGAACTTTTTTAGATTGCTTCTATCTGTATCCTACATTGTTGTTGATGCTCTATTGTTTTCTTGGTAGTAGCTCTTTTATGGGTTTGAACACATGCACGGTGTTGTTGATTGACAACATGGGATTTCTTTGCGTTCATTAAGTTTGAAAAGGAACCCATTTTGGAAATAATCATGATAGCCACTCCTCCATTCATTCACGATGTTATAGTGTTTTCTTGGAAAATGTGTTACTACTAGTGAAAGAAATTATAGCCTTTATAGGCACAAATTAACTCCAGTTTGCATTATTTATAAAAATAACATTTTGTTTCTACGCTTACTATTTGATACACATCATCCTGACCCTCCGCAGGTTCTCTCATTCTCTCTCCCAATTATGTTTATGTTTCATTAAATCAATGTTAAAATTTTGTTCAATAGGTTTTAAATTCTTAAATTGTTTTAAATTAAGTCATTGATTTTTTCTGTTAGAATTCCATTTAGTACTGTAGGACTTAATTACAAATTTTAAATAATTCAAAAATTTATTAAATAATTAAACTTCTAACTTAGTCCCTAAAGCATTTAAAAATAATAGTTAGGTACCCATATTTAGTGAACCTTAATAGAACCCCAATAGAAATGTGATCAGAGATTAGAGTTATTAATTTGAGTTAATCAACTCAGCTTAGCTTAAAATAATTCAAATTTCTGAAATGGTAGTTCAAACTTAGTCCCATATGGGTTTAGATAATAATAATAATAAGTTCAAGAATTGACAAACTGACTTAACCTATGTTCTACTATAAGAAGTACAAGCTAAAAGTATTCCATATTACTTTTTCCCATGGAGAACTTAACTTTATGTTCTATAAAATAAATTTACATCAATTTAGTTGAATACTGATCGAATAGGCTATAATCGGCTCACGGATTGAACTAGTGGTCCTATTTTAATAACAATATGATGATTTTTTTTTAAAATTTGAATTAATACATACCTTTAAACTTAACCAATTTTCAAATCAATTCTATTTATCCAATTTGTTTTTTAAACTAAATAAAGTCACCATAAATAATTATCTAATTCTGCACAATAGCAGATCCAAAAAGACGAAAAGTACAAGTTTTAATTGCAGTTGAGCTCAAAACTAAATAAACACAAGATGTGAATAATTCAAATACGAAAGTAAACTAAAAGAAACACTGACTAAATAAAATTTTACGGTATTTTCCGTAATAAAAAAAGAAAACAATAGATAAAAAGATATTGAAAAAGGATGTAAGTATGAGATAAAATTTTAATGCGAATGATGGAGATTACAAAATATATAAAAGTTTAAAGTGAGAATTCACTCTCTCACATATACACATGTTTAATATTCATTTTCATACTAACATTATTAATAATAATGACGATGACAATGAACATGACAATGATGATTAACCGGAATATGATGTTCAACAGTAACTTCGTTATATCCGTCATGTGACCTATGCAGGCCACTGGTAGGTTTTTCAGATGCATCATCGATCTTGGCTTCATTAGAGAAGTCTTGGTTACTGTTCCTTGCGTTGTAAAATGAACCGTCATGTGGATCAAGATTACCTATTTCTTCATAATCATAATCTACCACTCTTATACTTAACCGTTCCCTCCTTTCTCTAAACCTTCTTCCCTGTGACCAAAGAAATTTGGACATTGTTTTTAGATAATAGCACTTGTGTTTGACGATGTTATGGTGTTAGGCTATACACTATTTTATAAACGCATTATCAATTGCAATTAAGGGAATCCAACTTTTTGCTTAGAAACCAAGCTAACAATGTTTCATGCATAAATTCGTTCACGTGCTGCACACCCAAAAACTTCAAGGCTAATATATCCACCAGTTCTATCATTTGTTTAAATGTGTCGATTTTTTTTTTATCGTGTTATGTTATTATTGAAAATCAAAAGTATTGAATTAAAAATAAAATAAGAATTAAAAAATATTTAAATATATAAAGAATAAAAGAAACAATTTATAGTTGTCTACAAATGTTGATTAAATATATTTGTTTTACCTGTCCATACAAGTTGTTCGTTCCAAGCTGTTATTTGATCATCGATTTTTGTTTGGGTTACATGAGACGGTAAAGTCATACGAATAACAAAATGATGTGACCAAATGCAAACACGAATGGATGGTTATTAGCCTTCTGAAAATAAAGTGGGGGGAATAAAGTAGAAAAAAATGCCATATTTTGGAAATTTTGAAAATACTCTCATTAAATTTATTTTTTAAATCCTTATAATTAATGAAGTATATATTATGATTATTAATAGTGCATTTAATATCAAAGTCCAATTAATTCAAGACTATGAAAAGTTATTAATATTAATATTTTAACATTTATATTATTATAACTAATATACATGCTAAAAGTATTTTATATTTTTTTATAATTTATTAAATATTTTAAATTATTATAAAAATATACATTAAATATTTTTTATTTGAGATTAAATATTTTTATTTTTTATTTGTCTTTTTAATTTTAACTTTTTAACATGTGTTATTAAACATGCATTAATAATCGTTTGTATAATGAGTTCACAGCTGTTTAGTTGAACAACCGATCAAATAGATTATAATCAGTTCATGGGGTAGAACCGTGATCTGACTTTAATTACAATATTGATTTTTAATTTAAATTAATACACTGATATTATAATTTTATTTTCATTAACTGTTTGTTTTATCTTTTCTTACCTAAAAATCCACCAAGTTTTTAAATCAATTTCAGTCATACAATATGTTTCCCAGACCAAATAAATTCACCATAAATAAATATTTTATTATAACACACCAGCTCCAAAAGAACGAAAATTACAAATTTCATTTCACATGAACTCCAAACTAAAACTCAGGACGTGAATAATTAAAATAAAAAAAGTAAACTAGAGGAGAGATTGGGTAAACAAAACTCTACTTATATAAAAGATATAAGGATCATATTGAAAGAAGAAGTACTGAAACATTACAGGAGTTTCACTTTCAAGTGAAAGTTTATTCTTTTACATATAATATGCGGATAATATTAATTTTTTTGACATCGACATTAACGTTAGGGACATGATATTCTTGTGGGGAGAAATTTAAAAAGTTTAAATTAAATATAAAAATTTTTAAATTTAATATTAATAATAATGATAATGACGATCATAATAAATACGATCAGAATGATAATGAGTGTGATGATGATGATGAAAATCGCGAGAGGGAGCATAATGATCACAGTACTGGTTACTAATGCAATGGCTACTTTTGTCAGAAGTATCGAAGTTATCGTAGTTGCTGTTGATGGCTGAATTAGAGAAGTCTTGGTTACCATTTTCTCGGTTGTAAAATGACTTGCGTGAGCTGTAGTATGAATCATCATTTGAATAACGTCTCCCTTCATAATCTACCATTCTCATACTCATCCAGTCCATCCTCTCTGATCTCTGTGTTCGTGACGACACTGTTGTGCTTCGATTTTAGCACTTGTACGTGTTTGATGTGTTTGATGATTTTGTGTTGTTAGAGTACACTCTTATATAGACGCATCGATCATGCAATTTTTGCAACCAAGGGAATCCCATTTCGTTGCTTCAAAACCAAGCTAATGATATTTCATGCCAACCAATGCAATTATTCTAAAAGCATAAATTCATTCATGTGTTTCACTCCAGTTACTGTTCTTGCTGAGGCTAATCTATCCACTGGTTCTATCATTTGTACGACTCAAATTTGATGACTTTTCTTTTATGCATACTTTTTTAAAATATATTTAAGAAAGTTTAAATACAATTTTAGTTTTTATAAATAATTTTGCAAAAACGTAGTTTTAGTCTCTCATTTTTTTAAAAAAAAATTTAACACTTTTAGTTATTGATGAAGTACCAAGCAAAGAAGTTGGCATGTGTTTATTTTTTTATTGTTTATTCTATTTATTTTAATGCAAACCACTATTTCAATTATATTTTTTATTTTTGTATATAAATAAAAAAAATTACTATTATCACTAAATCTCTAATAATAATATTAATTTACTACAATGAAACTTAGTTCCTTTGATATCAAAAACATCACTAGATATGAAAATTTCTTAATTGTAAAGAGTACTATAGATTTTATTTTTTGAAAGAATTATCAAATATTTGTTATAACTCTCAAACAAAAAGGTTAACCTCTTTTAATCCATCCCTTTCTTTTTTTACTACTAAAAAATCTGTAAATATAGATAGATTTACAGATGAATTTTTGTATTATTACAGACAAATTTTAGTATTACTAATGAATTTATAGACAGTTATAGTCTGTCTGTACTATGCGCGTAAGTAAATAATTATAGACAGATTTTTAAATTCATTTATAATTTTAAATTCATCTATAATTTACAAACGGATAAATCCATCCGTAATTCATTTATGAAATTTTAAAAAATTATTTCATTTTTTTATAAATATAATTATTCCTTTCTGTTCTTAATTATCACAATTTATAAATATAATAAAAACTAAAAAATTTATATATTTAAATTAGAAATTATTTAT